TTTGTCTTGCTTCCTTCACGTGTTTGTACCACAATATCATATGTATAAAAAAATGAATAAACATGTCTACACCCAATGATGTTTAGAGAGTATGAGTTGAGGTATTAGGTTGAACCACTCCACCTGCTACAGGAAAATGTTTACTGAAGTTTCTCAACCCATGTTTTATAGGTGGAGTGATTGGGGGGGGGGGGGGGAAGCTTTACTGCTTATCCACCCAGTATGTCCTCTTGCGACGGTACAAGCCGGAGCATTGTGCAGCACACAGTGCAATGCCACATGACTTGCACTTATTCCTGCTGTCCTTCCTTTTACCAGACTTGTAGCAGACAAGACACTTCAGACCTTTCTTGATGTGAATTGGGGAATGGTTCAAGTTCCTGTTCAGACGTTCTGGTTTATCCACAATACAAGGGTTTCTTCTTGCAGCAGCACCACCACTAGGAGTTATCTGAACCTCGTCTTCTGAGTCAGATAATGAATCTTCATATCAAGGTGAAGAAGGGAAAAGTGGCCGCCTCACACCCGATGGTCTGGGGGATGCAATATTGTCGCCAGTAGATCTGCTCTCATAGTCGTGTACATCACCAGTATGTATGATGTCATTTTGGAGAGGCCAATTCTTATACTCAAAGTTAGTGACCAAATTACTTCTTCTTGGAACTGGAGCAATGAAAGTTTCTTTGTATCAGTTGTGTAGTTCTTGTATAACACAAAAGCATTATGGTTAGCTATTTGCAGAAAGTAGAATGTGATTTTCTTCATCCACTTGTGACATTTCTGTGTGAAATGATAATATTGACTATTTGGTCGAAGTGATAAACACCTTTAATGTGGTTATTGCAGTCACAGATTGCCTTTGGTTTATTCACATTGCCCTGTTGCAATGAAGATGTTCCATCAGGTTTGCGTACTAGTTTCCTTCATTTCACTTGTGTATCTGCATATCTGGCAAGCCCTTTCACACACACTCCATCCCACTCATTGTTCATGTTAAAAGCATTGGACATGCTTTATGATGCATACAAGTTGGTTTCATATACCATGTATTTGTCAATTTCACTGATGCAGTCAAGCCTCGTGTTCCTGTAAAACTGTCTACAAATGATGCAGTGTTGTCAGTGAACCAGGCTTCACCAGAACTGGTGCGTGGGGTACATGCGGTACAAGTTCCAATAGCGGGGCCTGCACTGGTGGTGGTATAAACATCACCCCCCACCACTCCTCTCGCTTACAATTTCATCCTCACCTGCTGTTTGTCACCTTACTATCTACACTACAGTCACTTTCGACACTTTCAAGATCGGAAAATTCGTCAACTAAAGCCTGGAATTTTGTTGGTAAGGGTTTCAATTTTCTATATTTTTGGCGAACACTACTTAGCTTTTCCCTCAGATGTGTTTTTCCCTGCTTTCGTCATGGACTGGCTCTGTTCTTGATCCCTATCCATCTTTGAGTAAATGTAGTGTATTTATAAAGGCACTAACAAATATAGCTGAGGAAAAATAACCAGAACGAGCACACGTTTTTGCGCATGGGGAGGCCACAGCGGTCACGAGCGTAAATACAATAGGCCTACCGCGTGGGTGGCGGAGCCATGATGCCACATGGGCCATCACAGAAAATGGGAAGATGTTGGCACACTTTAAAAAAGTCCCATAATGATTGGAAAAAATGTTTTTTTTTTTAATGAATATTTTAATTTGGGACGCAGCGTGCGTCCTTGCCCAGACTGAGTATATTCATATACGGACTCATTGTGAGTTATCGGCCAGGCAAAGTGTTAATGTTTTTCAATGCCTGTGAAATATTTAAGTTTTCTAGTTTGCCATCAGATAAAAATTATACTCTGCCTGCCTGCCTGTCCCCAGGCACAAAGAATTAAATTCAACATTTAAAATATTGCTTTAGTGTAAATATTTATTCAATAATTTATCACTGAAACCTTTGTATTGTTAGGAAAAGTAGCTACATTTTAATCTGAAGATTAAGATCACCAGTCTCCGTGGTGTAGTGGTAAGACACTCGCCAGGCGTTCCGCGAGCACTTTGTCATGTATCCTGTAGCTTTGTCAGATTCGTATCCTGGCCGGGGAGGATTTACTGGGCGCAAATCCTTAACTGTAGTCTCTGTTCAACTCGACAGTAAAATGAGTACTTGGTTGTAAAAAAGATTCTTCGTGGGGGTCGTATTCCAGGGACCTGCCCGAAACGCTACGCGTACTAGTGGCTGTACAAGAATGTAACAACTCTTGTATATATCTAAAAAAAAAAAAAAAAAAAAAAAAAAAAAAAAAAAAAAAAAAAGTACCCAGACTTGTAATATTAGATTGAAAGCTCTACCAGTGAACCTACTGACCTCTTGGTTTAGCTTTTGCATTCTGATACTACAGGTTGCAGCATTCACTTTTTACTCTGTACATTATAATAGAGGAGAGAAAGTCCTACCCAGTGTCTGCTTATGATGCTCTGTGGTGCCTGAACAATGAAGGCAACATGCACAACACCTGCCATAAATACCAACATTACTACCATTTCTAGATATGTGTTGGAGCAATTATTTGTGGACAGTTTGATGTCAAAGTATAAATATATATGTTGTACACAAAACAGCCAGCCACACAAATGTAACATTATCATTCATTTGTATAAACAGTTGCACTAACTTAAAATCATAAATATTTGCATTCAGCATACTGCCAGCCACTGAATGTGACTGGAATGCCAGTTAACTTGGAAGCTGTGGTATTGCTTTGAATTAGTATTACTATTCCTCTCAGCTCCTTGAATCATTGTAAGTCAAGACACCATACAAGTACAGTACTTAATACTGACTAGATTATATTTGCAGGTGGCAACCAGCGTGAACTAGCTAGAGCCAAAAATGCAAAGAAACAAAATGAAGGGAAGAAGGGGCAAGCTTCAGGTGCAAAGGTAAGACATGTTTAGTTTTCATTTTTAGTTATTAATGCTACATGCAAATTGTAGCAACACACACTTCATCCACACTTTGCACCCCCCCTGTCCTTTCCTTTCCTCTCCTCTCCATTTTACTGGATCATAACATAGGATCTTAGAGTAATAATCCCAAAATGTTGAACCCTTCCTACCTCCACTTCCATATTCTTTTCCCACAATACGACCAATTCTTTGCATACATTCCTATTATTAAAAGTATGTAGCAATAGTGTAATTTGGTACTGTAAGTTTGACAGGTTTTGAAAGTAATAAAATTTTTGTACCAGTTGATTGTCCATGTGATCACCACCTAGAAGAAAGTGAGTTACTAGAAGAAACATGGCATGGAAAATATTGTAAAGGTTCTATTGTTACGTAAAGTATGGTGACTTAAGATTATCTAGTCTAAGTATACTAGAAAGTAGATACTGGTCTACTTTCAAGTGTCTGTTCTAGACCACACTTGAAAGTAGACTAGTTATTATTCGCTACTCTGCTGCTTATATGCTCAGGTAACACCTCACCTTTCTCCAAAGGTTGGCAGGAATATTAACTGGAAGTAGGGAAAGGTTTGAGTTCCATAATTAGTACTAAGAAGAGCTTTGCTTCTCTTGTTAGGCTAATGCGTTTGGAGCGAGTATATTATTGGGATAATCTATTTGCTACAATATAAATACATGTACTGCAAATGGTTTGACTTCTGCTGATTTCCCAATCACCACATCATATGTGGCCGTTTATCATCCCATTTAATATGAAAGTTGAAGATCCGGACAGCCTCTTATCAAACGATATCCAAACCCCTGGCAATATGAATGATATTAGCATGAACATGGAAGACTTTGAAAGATTGACAACGTGCCCTAGATCCTGGCTTGTGGAATTTAATGTACAGTGGCCCCTCCGTTTATGAATTTAATCCGTTCCCAGAGACGGTTCGTAAGCTGAAAATTCGCAACCCGAAACAAATTTTCCCATAAGAAATAATGTAAATTGAATTAAACCATCCCACACTCCCAATAATATTAACTTTAAAATAATTTCATACCTAATTCACACAAATATTTAGTACTATAGTATATGCAAGTTATAGCTTTCCTTTATTGATGACTCTTGTTAGTGTATTGTAGACGGTGAGGAGGGGGGGGGGAGAGCAGAGTTATTAGTGTTTAGAAGGGGTCCCCCCTTCCATTATAACATCAGGCATTGTTGACTTCTCTGGGATACTCTCCTATGTTTTGCCTGCATACCACCAGGACCTGGTTGTGGCTCCCTGCTTGTTTTTTCTCACTAAACTGTTCCAAAGACTTGTTTTTCCCTATATTGTAACACTTGTTTGTAGTGAGGCATCAGTGTCATTAAAACGATTAAGGCCTACTACAGCTTGCTCTGGGTGAGTCGTTTCAACAAATGTTTGCATTTCTTCCCAGTCCACGCCACTTCTTAATTGTTGAGGGAGTGACATTCTGTACTGCCTCTTTGCCTGAAGAAATTTCCTCAGCTGCATCTTGTTGCAGCTCATTGTGAATGGCTAGGAGTTCTTCAGTGGTCAGTTTTTTGCTGTACTGTATTCTTCCTCCACATCAGCACCATCCAACCCGTTCTCGCACTTTCTTAGTCAATATTGACTTGTTTAATAAGAAAACCTAAGAAAATAGCTGTGAGTAGAGGTAGTAGAGGATGTCCCTTCTTGATTAAGAAAATGTGTGAAGTATGGGAAGAACTGCAAAGTTCTGTTGAAAAACTCACCCGGATAAAGCTGTAGCAGGCCGTTGCATTGACCTTTTAAATGACAATGTAATGTCTTATTACAGACAAGTGTTAAAATGTATGGAAAAACAAGTGTCTTTCGACAGATTCTTAGTAAGACAAACAAGTCCTAGTGGTATGCAGGCAAAATGTGCCAGTGTGTGCTCACCAGTGAAGTCCTCACTGCCTGATGTGATAATGGAAGGCAACTCCCCTTCCAAACAGTAACTCCTCTCCTCCTCCCCCCCCCCTCCTCACCATCTTCCATACGCCTACAGCATTCAACAGCAAGGTAAGTAATAGCTTGAACATAGTTTTGTAGGTTTATTTAGATGAATTAGGTATAAAAATTTAGTTTGTGGGGTTTTTGGGGTAGTCAGGAACGGATTAATTCATTTCCCATTATTTCTTATGGGGAAATTAGCTTCGGAATATGAGTTTTCGGAATACGAGCCGTCTCTAGGAACGAATTAAACTCTTAAACTGAGGTACCCCTCAGGCATACCTCAGTTTAAGAGTTTAATTGGTTCCTGGAGACGCCTCGTATTCTGAAACTAATTTCCCCATAAGAAATAAAGGGAAATGAATTAATCCGTTCCTGACTACCCCAAAAACCCCACATCAAACTAAATTTTTATACCTAATTCATCTAAATAAACCTACAAAACTATGTTCAAGCTATTACTTACCTTGCTGTTGAATGCTGTAGGCGTATGGAAGATGGTGAGGAGGGGGGAGGAGGAGAGGAGTTTCTGTTTGGAAGGGGAGTCCCCTTCCATTATCACATCAGGCAGTGAGGACCTTTCTGGTGTGCTCTCCCTGGGACATTTTATCTGAGTGCCACTAGGTCCTGGTTGAGGCTCACTGCTCGATTTCCTCACCACAAATCTGTCCATGGAAGCTTGCTTTTTCCTTCTTCGCAAGCTCTCTCTGTAGTAAGGCATCACATTGTCATTGAAAAGATTAAGGCAACGGCCTACTACAGCTTTCTCTGGGTGAGTCTTTTCAACAATTGTTTGAATCTCTTCCCACATCTGACACACCTTCTTAACACTTTCGCGCTCTCCGCAAAGGTCACTCAGCCAACCGAATGTGCGCGCTGCGTTTTTATCGCTTAAGCGTAAAAACAAAAATGTGTATACTCTTTTTACTCTTCTGACCTTAGTTCTCATGCTACGTATTTCATTTTGGTACCAACGTGTTCGCAATAAAATTCTCTAGAAGAACATTAGTAAAATAAGTCACGAAACATATAGGGATACCAGCACCAAATAAATAACTATGTAGATGACTCGCCGTGAGCGCCCATCAGCAACAAAATGTTTTTACTCTTGGGATTGTAATCACCTCCACACTTGTTCTACAGCGTTAATTTTGGTATCAATGGACTCGCAATGAAATTCCCAACACGGTGATACGAATATAAGCGTAGAATAATGATGCAGCCCGCCCGCAAGAGTGTGGGAAGTGGTGAAATTGTTACCCGGTATCGGTGACGGGACGACGCACGGCGCTTTGAAAGTTTATACTTATTTCACTCTCATGACATTAATTTTCTATGTACGTCATTCATTTTTATGTCAATGTGTTCGCAATAGAATGTTCTATGTGCCCATAGGTAAAACATAACAAAGCGTAAGTTAGAATAGCGACAAATATAAAACAACGCTGGAACATATCAGTGAGCGTCAAACACACACGAAATATTTTTACTTTTGTTATGTTTGTCAAGATTATACTTGTTGCACACAGTTATTTTTGGTTGTATATTGATCGGAATAAAATTCCCTAAACAGACATATGCATATAATACATGATATGGGGGAAGAATTACCAGTATAAACGGCTAAAGTCACCCACCTGCAACCCGTTTGGGACAAAATACCATTTGATCGAAGTTATCCACACCTTTCATGAACTTATTGTACCATGCAGCCTAGTGGTGAGAAAGAGAGCCTCATAGCGCGCAGTTTGAAACCCAAAGTAAATCGGATAAAAATTGAATTTTATACAAATATTTTAAAAGTAGACATAACTTTGTCCACTATGCGTTTACGTTAGACGAAACCGAACGCGCCGGCGCGTCCAGATAGCGCGAAAGTGTTAATTACTGCAGAAGGGACATTCGCTACTGCCTCATCCTCCTCCACTGTAGAATCATCTGCTGCGTTGACTTGCTGTTCCTGTTGAAGGGATTGGAGTTCTTCGGTGGTCAGTTCTTTGTTGTGTTCTTCCACCAACTCCTCCACATCACCATCCAATTCCAAGCCCATTTGCTGGCCTAGACTAACAATTTCCTCAACAATAGGCACATCATTTAGAGGCTCAAACCCCTCAGTCTAGTTCTCTCACACATTCAGGCCACAATTTTCTCCAGCCAGATCAGGGTTCTTTGAGTCACTTCTTGCCAGGCTTTGTCAACGAGTTTTAAAGCACTACAAATGTTAAAATGCTGTTTCCAGAACTCTTTGAGGGTGAGGTTTGTGGCTTTAGTCACTTCAAAACATTTCCCGGAAAAGTGTCCTTTCATAAAGTTTCTTAAAATTCGCTATGATTTTCTGGTCCATAGGCTGAATTAGAGGAGTGGTGTTAGGAGGAAGGAATTTAACTGAGGAATTTATTGTATCTGGGCAACAAATCATCTTCCAAGCCTGGAGGATGAGCAGGAGCATTGTCGAGGAGAAGCACGGCTTTGAGTGGCAAATGTTTCTCCTGCAGATATTTTTCTATGGCAGGGCACAGCACTTCATTCACCCACTCCGAAAAAATAAGCCTAGTCACCCATGCTTTTTTATTAGCCTTCCACATCACACACAAATGGGTTTTTTGCACTTTATATTGTTTGAAAACCCTTGGATTTTCAGAATGATACACTAGCAAGGGTTTAATTTTCAAATCGCCACTCGCATTTGAACACAGCACAAGCATAAACCTATCTTTCATAGGCTTGTGTCCGGGCAAGGATTTTTCCTCCTTGGTAATGTATGTCCTCTTAGGCATTCTTTTCCAAAACAGTCCTGTTTCGTCACAATTAAACACTTGTTGCGGTAGGTATCCCTCAGCTTCTGCAAACTCTTTAAATTCCTCGATAAATCGTCCAGCGGCTGGTTTGTCTGAGCTGGTTGCCTCCCCATGCCTTGTAACACTATGGATACCACTTCTCCTAAATTTTTCAAACCAGCCCCTGCTTGCCTTAAACTCTTTCGTATCTTTCGTATCGTAGAGATGGTTGGGTTGACTGCATCTATCTGGACATAAAAAAAGGCTTTCAACAGAGTTCCACATAAGAGGTTGTTCTGGAAACTGGAACATATTGGAGGGGTGATAGGTAAGTTTCTAATGTGGATGAAAAATTTTCTAATGGAAAAATGAAGGCAGTAATCAGAGGCCATGTATCGGACTGGAAAAATGTCACAAGTGGAGTACCACAGGGTTCAGTTCTAGCACTGGTAATGTTCATTGTCTACATAAACTATCTACTAGATGGAATACATATATGAACATGCTTGCTGATAAGATAAATGGGAAGATAAGTAACTTAGATAATTGTCATGCCCTTCCAGAAGACCTGGACAAAAAAAGTTTATGGAACACCACATGGCAAATGGAATTTATTGTAAATAAATTCCATGTTATGGAATGTGGAATAGGAGAACATAGGTCCCACACAACCTATAAATTGTGAGAAATCTTAAAAGAATTCTGAGAGAGATCTATGGGGGATCTAGAGACCTATCTGGGTCTAGATAGAAAACTATCACTCAAGGATCACATAAAGGATATTGTGTGAGGGGGTTCTATACTACACTTTGTCTAAATTGACCAGACCACACACTAGGTGAAGGGACAACTGCCATGTTATGTCGTCCCTTCTCCTTCTAGTGTGTGGTCTGGTCAACATACTTTAGTCACGTTATTGTGACTCATCGCCTGCACTTTGTCTAACTTCAGAATTGCTTTTAAATACATGGATGGCAAAATACTCGGGAAATCGTTCACGACTGTTGTTAGGCCAAAGCTGGAATATGCAGCGGTTGTATGGTGCCCATGTCTTAAGAAGCACATCAACAAACTGAAAAAGGTGCAAAGACGCCACTAAGTTCCTCACAGAACTGAAGGACAAGAGCTATGAGGAGAGGTTAGAGGCATTAAATATGCCAAAATTAGAAGATAAAGTGCAATTACAGCAATTAGACAAAATAGTAACAGGTATCGATAAAATTTATAGGGATGAATTCCTGAGACCCTGGAAATTCAAGAAAAAGAGGTCATAGATTTAATCTAACTAAACAAAGATGCCAAAAAAATTATAAGAAAACACTTTCGCAAACAGTTGCGAAACGACGGTTGCAACAAGTTAGGTGAGGTGGTGGTGTGGTGGTCAAAACCGTTGGTAATTTCAAAGCGTTATGACAGTGCTGGGAAGACAGGGACACCACGAGCATAACTCTCATCCTGTAACTACACTTAGGTAATTACACAAATGATATATTGTGTGTTAGAGTAAATAAAATTTTTACTGGTGTATATTAGAAAAATCATGTAATGCTTTGTTCTTAAGAGTTTCAGATATTAGACAGGATATTGTATTTTTTTTTTTTCCAGGATGGAAACAAGGGTCTAACTCTTGAAGCTCGAAAGCAGCGAGATGCTGAAATGATGCGGTTAAAGCAACAAAAAGCTGCAGGTAAAAAAGATGATGAAGGTGGTAAGAAGTAACTGCAAAGATATGGAACATGTCTCCAAAGATACTTCTGATGGTGTGAAGATATTCACCAATTTTTATGAGAATTATATAGCCATTTTGGAATAGTGTGCTACTTTACTCAGCATTGGATAGGTTTCTTTTTACTTGTAATATAAGGACATCATTGTAGAAGAATGACGGAATTATCTGCTAATATGGATGTAGTGGCAAGTGGGAAAATTAAAATAAGTGAAAGATACAAATTGGTACTCTTTAGATGGATTTGGGTAACTGTGCACTACATTGTGGATTTTTTGTATTACGTATGCTCTTTTACTACTAGTGATTGGATTATCCAGTATCTAACATCATGGTATTAAATTGGCATGAAAATTTAATGTATCTTCCATATTTGACTTTCTTGTATTTGTTCTACTTGTTTTTCCAGGACATTAATTTTAAGGAAATATATTTAATTTAGAAAAATAAACTTTTAATATACTGTAATTGTTTTATCTTGTGAATGATTAATCCTCAGAGAAAATTCTTGTTAAACTTGTGTATTATGAAGCAACAATTTTTAAAAATCAATATAATTTTATCTTACAAGAAAATAAAGTATTACAGCTAGTAATTCCTTCCCAGCCAACTTAAATGTGCATGTTTTTGGCCTAGATTTTCAGTAATAAGCTTACCTTGGCCAGCACTACTTTTTAAGAGTACTGTACTATATATGTATACGTAGTATTGTGTGATTGTCACTTGCATATGTATACAAATTTAATATTTCTAAATATAGCCTCATGGGGGTACAGACTGTACATGTCAAGTTGTATTTCAGCATTGTCCCAATATTGATTTGTTTGGAGAGCATATTTGTTTCTTAATTGTTTAATTATATACATAAAATACTTGCAAACACATTACCAATCTCCCTTTTGCATGTAAAGTACAGTACGATTGGATTTCCAAAAGTCATTTCATTATAGTATTGAAACATTCACTGTCTTGTTGTTGTTGTCTACTTTCTTAAATCAGTGCTCAACTAAACTCATCATCGAGTTTTGATGTAAAAATACAGTACTGTTCTATATATGAATATATCTGTATAATGCAATCATAATTTGGCAGTTTGATAAATCATCTGCTATGTGCTCCACTAGCAAAGCTGCAGTTCCAAATGTACATTTGCAGATTCTCCCTTTCTTATTTAATTACTTTTTTAAGTAAAATGATACACATGCAAGTGAATTTTATTGATATCCTAATGTAATGTCCTTCCCACCTTCCTCAGACTCTCAACCGTTTCCGGGCTTTGGACCCTGATACGCCCACTGCCCCCTCCTCTGTTCCTTTGAGTTCTGTCCCGAAGGGTCACTCCTCCTGGTCCTCTGTCTGGGGTTCCCCTTCTTTCTATCCGGTCTGTCATATCTCCTGTATCTTCTTCCTCGTCTCCCTCCGATCCTCCTTCCCATCCTTCTCCTCCATCTATTGACTCTCCCCGCTGCCTGTCGGTGCAGGGGGATGTCCATCGCTCTCGCTCTCCTAACGGCCGTGCTGCTGTCCTTGACTGCTCCTCTCCGTTGTCTCCTCTTCCTCCTCCGGACCCTGCCCGCCCACCTCTGGTCTGTTCTCCCGCTTCCTTCCCTCCGTCTTTGCTCAGTTTACCCATGCCCCCTAACCCTGACTTTGCTGACCCTGATATTCTTTGATGTGCTATGTTGCTCTTTCGCCTTTGTTTCTTCCTTGTTCTCTGTTGTTGTCCTTTCTCTTCTCGTTGATGTCTATTCTTCAATGGAACGTTCGAGGTTATTACGCCAATTTCCTCGAACTCCAACTTCTAATTTCACGGTTTTCGCCCTTTGTGTCTGTCTCCAGGAGCCGATGCTTGGTGCTCGTCCTGGTCGTTTTCGTGGCTATTCCTTTCCCCCAGCCTTTGCTGGGGCTCCTAATTCTTCTGCTCTCTTGATTCGCGCTGATGTTCCCTTTGTCCCCTTACTTTTTCCTTCGCCTCTCCATTGTTCTGCTGCTTGTATCTTTGTGGGGAAATGGTTCACAGTTTGTTCCATTTATCTCCCCCCGAGTGTCCCGCTTTCTCTTCCTGATTTGAAACACCACCTGGACTCCTTGCCGGAGCCTGTGCTCCTGCTGGGTGATTTCAATTGTCATTCTCTTTGGGGTGTTCTGACGAATACCCAAGGTCGCCTTCTTGAGCCGTTTATCCTCTTCTTCCCTGTCTCTTCTGAATTCTGGTGAGCCCGCTCACTTGGACTCTCGGACTCGCACCCTTTCCTGTCTTGATCTTTCTCTCTGCTCTTCTTCTTTACTTAGATTTCACGTGGCAGGTGCTTGATGACCTCCATGGCAGTGACCATTTCCCCATCCTTGTTTCCTTTTTCTCTTTTTGCCCTTCCCTAGGTGGCAGTTTTCTAAGGCGGACTGGAACCTATTTACCCTCAGTGCTGCTCTCTCTGACCTCTCCCTCCTGCCTCTCCCTCGTGCTCTCCTCCTTTTTCATGACACTGTCTTCGACGCTGCCCTCCGCTCTATTCCTCGCTCTTCCTCTCGGGGTCCGCGGAAGTGCGTTCTCTGGTGGACTGCGGATTGTGCTCGGGCTGTCCGCTGTAAGCATGCAGCCTGGAAGAGGCACCGCCGTCGGCAGACGACCGATTCTTTTCTTTTCTTTCGGAAAGCGAGTGCAGTGGCCCATAGGGCCATCCGTACCGCTAAGCGTGAATGTTGGGCGTCTTATGTCTCCGCAATTACGTCCGAAACTCCTCTGCCACAGATCTGGAAGCGTATCCGCAAGATAGCGGGTAAGTTCGTTCCCGATGTTTCACCGGTCCTTCACCTCCATGGTACTCTTGTGGCGGACCCGTTGCAGGTCGCTTCCGAACTGGGTTCCCACTTTTCTTCTGTTAGCTCTGGTCTTCATCTTCCACAATCTTTCCTTCTTCGTAAACCTGTCCTTGAGTCTCGTCCTTTATATTTCTGCACTCGTCTTAGGCTTCCCTTTAATGATCCCTTCTCTCTCTCTGAACTTTGTTCTGCCCTGGCCCTCTGCCAGGGCAGAGGGGGGGGGGGGGAGTCCGCTTGGAGTGCTTGGTCTCTTTGATCCTACCTGGGTTTCTGTGCCTTCTGAGTGGGGTTTGTTGTTGAAGGACGGGGTTTTCGTATTCTTCGTCTCTGTATGAATTTGAGGGTGTCTATATATTTTGGGGTCCTTCCGGTGGTTTCCACGGAGGTTCGGAAGGCCCTTGGTGCTTACCGCCTGTGAGAACCAGTTTACTCCTCGTTAATGGATTCGGCTTCCTTTGAGTTTGGTTGTTCTTCCCTGTATTGATGGGGTTTTGGTAGTTCTACTCCCCAAGCCCAGCCCGATACCAGGCTTGACTTCAGAGAGCTTAATCCAACAGGCTGTTGCTTGGAGTGGCCTGCAGGCTCACAGCCTGGTTGTTACAGCACTTCTTGAAGAAAACTATCTAGTTTTCTCTTGATGTCCACTGTTGTTCCGGCAATATTTCTTATACTCGCTGGGAGGATGTTGAACAACCGTGGACCTTTGATGTTTATAGTGTTCTCTCATTGAGCTCATGCCACTCCTGCTCTTCACTGGTTCTATTTTTCATTTTCTCCCATATCGTTCACTCAGTAAATCATTTTACTGTGTATATTTGGGACCTGGCCCTCCTGTATTTTCCACGTGTATATTATTTGACATCTCTCTCGTCTCCTTTCTAGCGAGTACATTTGGAGAGCTTTGAGACGATCCCAATAATTTAGGTGCTTTATTGCATCTATGTATACTGTGTATGTTCTCTGAACTCCCTCTATTTCACCAATCTCACCTGCTTTGAAGGCCCTTGGTGTGTACCTCCTGCAAGAACCAGTTTACGCCTCGTTAATGGATCCGGCTTCTTTTAAGTCTGGTTCTTCTTCCCCGCATTGGGTGATACAATGGAACCTCTGTTGAAGACTGCCCTAGAAGACAAATTTTTTGGAACACGTTATATTCGTCATAAAATTTGAATTGGTACACAACGGTTTACTTGGAAGACGATGTCTGTAGTATGCGTATGGGTCGAACGAGCGCATGGTGCTGAGGCAAGGCGCTCTGTTTAACAGAGTGTACATTCAGGGAATGTACTCCTGAATGGAACAGCTGGCACTAGCAAATTATATAAGGAAGGGACCTACTATCAAAAGTGATCTTCACAACTCGGATGTAGATGAACACAAGCGGGTCGCGTGAATGTATCAACCTGGAGGACAGAATGGCCTTGGGCTTCAAGGATATATTTAATATCCTCATGGCAGTCTTTCAGGTCCCTAACACCAGTCGTAACATGGTACGGGAGAATAACCGTGCCAATACTGTCATTTAACCTGGCATTTTTGGAGATCCTAACAGGGTCTCCTCAATGCTGGACAACGAGGCTATGCAGGCGGCTGCTTCAAGCAGCAGCAATGCCATGTGTACCAGTACAGGTGGGGTTAAAAGTAACAAAGGTATCCACCAAATCAATGAGGTGTTTATGGAAGAAGAAATCATCAGGATGTAAGTACTTAGTCCATGTAGCAGGACCAAATAAGGCTTGGAATGTAGTAGAACTGGAAGGAATCATGTGGGTGCGTCTGCGAAGGGGATGGTGCCGAGCACCTCCAGTGAGATGGGGGTAAAAGGTGTAGCTGTCACAATGAGAGGAGCCGCAGCTTCAGTTGATAGTGGTTGTCACTGGGGGCTTGGGGTTCGACCCTGCCACAGAGGTGGGAGGGGTCAGGAAAGCAGCTTGATCTGGGCCCAATGTAGAGGGGACTACAGAGCCCGGCTTTCCATCACAGTCTGCCTCGGGGGGGGGGGGGGGCTGTTCGCCCACCCCACGAGTCTAGGAAGTTAAAAAAAAAAGAGGGTCAGTCATAGGCATATAAATGAACAGGTATTAATTACATCCACGAATAAGCCCCCATACCCACCATGGAGCCACAATTAGAGGATAGGATACCTGCCAAGTCGGGGGCCCCCAGGGGTGCATCGTGGGTATATGCTCTGCAATTGCCACCTAAAGAACCGTCAGTATGTCGAGATCAGGTTCAGCAACAAAGGCAAGGGTTGACAATAAAAGCATCCCTTCGCTTGAAACGTCTGGTACCACAGTTTTACGGGCGAATGTGCACACCTGCCAACACCCAGGTGTCAAAACAGATGGTGTCTGAAAGAAAAATCAAGAATGGCAAAAAGTCGGCAGGAAATGACAGTCACAAAGGAGACGAGGGGAGAGGAAAATGAAACATAAGGAAGAGGTAAAGGCTTCCAGCACAATTTGTGAAGAATGCAGCAGGAGCATAAGGCTCCAAAAGGACAAGAGGACTCTCCCATGGAGCAGCAGCCCACCAAGCCCCCTCATAACTACAATGGGGTGGAAAGGGAGGGGGAAGCTAACAAGTAAAGGTAAGATTATTAATAGATACATTGTAGCAGAATTTGAGATTACCATAATAGCTACAATATACTGTAAATTGATGGTAGTGATTATACCAGTGAAGTTGCATATCTTAAATACTAAAATTGTTGGAGTAAGTAGCACAAAATACTGTGGGTTTGAAGCATAAGGTAGGAAACTATGGGGATGTAATTAGGTATTTTTTTTTTTTTTTTTTACTTTACTTTTGAGTAACTCCCCCCTCCCCGCTCAGCTCGTTGTCGCCGTGTGGGGGCTTAGTGGGCGGCTGCCGGAGTGTGATGCTCCTTGGGGCGGTCCTCTGTCCTTTTCTAGCCTTGTGCTCCTGCTGCCGTCCTCTCCAATTCTGCTGGGCATCTTTTCCTTTTCCTTCTGTTTCGTTTTTCTCCCCCCTCTTCTCCTATCTGCTTGCCGTTTCCTACCGACCTTTTGCTCGTTCTGGTTCTTCCCTTGGACTTCTTCTATTTTGACGCCCGGGTGCTTGAGGAGGCATACTCATGCACCCGTAGAACTGCAGTACCCGACGTCGAGAGCGAGGGGAACCTTTTATTGTCAATCCCCACTTCGTCACTGAACCCGATCTCGACGGACTGTCGGTTTCTTAAGGTGGCGTTTGTGGGGCGTATACTCGCGACGCACCCCTAGGAGGCCCCGACAAGATCGGCGATAGCTTCTTGTTGGGTGTCCTGCCTCTAATTGTGGCTCCATGGTGGGTGTGGGGGCACATTCGTGAGTGAATTCTTTCTTTCGTCAAGATGATTACCCCTGCTTCGGCTTCTTCTGGTTT